TTTTGGACTTAAGAGGAAAATTGTTTTCTGTAAATGTTCACTATCCAGAAATCTTAAAGGGATGTCTTTCAATATTAATAACATTTTTCCTGCAATATTTAGGACTCTTCCACATTAAAAAATGCTTTTCAGTTTAAGCCATTTTTTTTATTTAAAATGAGCAATAAATGTTATTTTTGAAGTTGAAATAAGTTTTATTAATGTATGTTATTTGTTAGGAGTGTCTCCTTTTGGACTAATTAAAATTTATGGTCAACCACTAAAATAATCCATACCTGCTTTGCTAATGTATACTGATAGCATTTGAATAATCCAGAAAGAAGAGGATCTGGTTTAAATCAGTTTCCCCTAAAAAAAAACATTTTTAGTCTAAGTCAGCGCTGTGTTATCATGTCTGCATGAAGGTTTGTTCAAGGTTGCTGTTGTGCATTTATTTAGACTATGGTGACTGACCATGTGTACCTGAGAGGTCTTCTAGGGGGCAGGATTACTGACTGGAGCCAGACTTGATTAAACCCAGCCTCCGTTTGATTGTTCATTTGATTAGTTGCCATCATAATAAAGTTTTCCAAACAAGCTTCTTGGTCTCCATATGACTCCTTAGTCCGGTTTATTTAAAGGCTTATGTTCATGTCCACCCTGGAGAGGTTTGTCGTTATAGAGAACCATAGAGACACTGGAAAAAAAACAACATTCAATGTCTTTTTCAAACAACTGGCAGATTTCCATCACCATCTGCACCATGTTTTACTTCAATTTAGTTCAAACCTTAACGAGTGAAATAATTTCTTGCAACAGCATCATAACTAACCTCAAACTGTGTGTTTTTGTGTGTCCAGGTGAGCAGCCCAAAGAAAACCTCACCACCTCTGATGTGCCTGGAAAACGCAGTGAGTTGCTCCTGGGATTGTTTTTTTTTTAATGCTCATATCCAGTTACGTCCAAAAAAAAAACAACAACAACAAATGCATTTAGAAGACAAAAAAATATATAGTTTTTCCACAGTACCCAGAATAAAAAAAATAAACATGTTTGGCAGCATGTTTTTTTGGAAGCTTCATTGTGAGTTGGTGTATTTAAGATATGCTGTTTAATAATGCATTAGAAAATGTGCATCGCTTCATTTACTGAACCAGGAGGTAGAAGTCTGTTGTTGTGTAGCTCAGGGCGTTCTCTATGCAGAGGGAAACGTTTTCTAGCAGAGGTAGAGGGGCTTTTAAACAATGTGGGTAGTGATCA